TCCAAGGTTTGAAGACGTTTCACTCCCACTCCAGGAAGCTTTCTCAAAAATTTGAGTTGAGAAAGCTTCCTGTAGTGAGAGCAAAACGTCTTCAAACCTTGGAAACCAAGTCCAGTAGATCGCTTTTCTAAACTTTTACAGAATAACTATGACATGGATGACTGAGAATCTTCATCAGCATATCAAACCTAAATGCTTTTTTTCTTAACCACAGTGTTTATAACTCGACCAGGTAGTGCGTTGTATCAGCATTACCGTACCACAAGGGGCAGGGCGTGTCACCAATTTTCACAATCCATACAGAAGGTAAATGCCAGAAATGTGTCCTGAAATTGACGGGAATTTCTGATCTTAGGTGTAAGTTTGTTATTCACTAATGTTAGGATGAGGTTAGCCCTCAGTGGAAGGGATAATCCAAAGGTATTAAATTAGGATTAGGTATCAAATCCAATGATTGTTTCGTTGAGAACCTCTGTTGCGAAAATGTTTATGTAGTTTACAGAACTTTATTGGCAAAGGTATTTCACTTTGAAAAAAAACTTGAAATTGCCTTAAGTTTTTGAATTAAAAAAATTTAGCAAAAAAGATTTGGCCAAATTAACAAGCATGTTTGGTATGGGTTATCAAAATAGCCGCTGCCTTTCTGTGGTATGGCACGGTCATTAGAACATCATTAAATACATTTTCTCTTTTTTTTTATTGTGAAAAACAGCTTAAAAATAACATTCATTTCCAGCTGTGAAGTGTACAAAACAGTATTCTTTCTGAAAACTATTTTTTTCCCTGTTGTATTGAGAAATGTTCCAAATAAATTATAATCTATAACAACAGATTGAACGTCAGTTTTAATGTGCAAAGTGCAGTAAAATGTGTGTTAGTATGAGCTGATCATGTAGTGTATACTAGCTTGAACACTAAGTGTTTGTTATGTACACTGGTGGAAATAGTGAAAACTGTGAACGACCTTCTACAGTACTATTTCAGCTCGGCAAAAATAGAACAATTTGCAGCTGTTGAACTGGAAGGTAACAAGCTGAATGGCTGCAAATGTTTACTGGAGACACTGACTCACCCTTCCTGGCTCCTGTTTGTTGTTCAGTACGACTGTTTTTCAAGTGTAAATTTCACCAAATTAGAATAACATTAAACAGACCTTGTTTTCAAGCAGAACAGCTGTAACCCAACATCACCGAGTTCATTTGCCTTATTTGACGTCTTGCACAAGGGCTACCGCACATACATTTGTTGCTCCGTCAATGCCCACACAACATTTCACGCAGCTCAATTTCAAAGCCGAGCAACTCCCTTTTATGGAAAGTGCAATTATGGAAATGAGCCATGACATCACATGCAGGTCGATTGGAAAAGGCACAGCTCCTGTTAAGCGTCTGTTTTCTCTGCTGACCCTGAGTAGGCAACAAACAACTTCAAGGTTGAGTGCAGTCATCTGAGGGGAAAATAGTTCTGCTTGAAGAGGCTGCAGGGAATACAAACACCGGCAGGACGTGAACACGACTCGGTCCTAAATAACTGGTACCGTCAGGAACGGCGGAGAAAAATAGGTTTGAAAAAAACCCGGAAAGAACCTTTCAGCAAAGACGCTTAGCGGCTCCTGTTCCACATACAGAACCATATGACCTTTTCAATAAATCATGTGTCTCTGAAACATTTACAACTGGTGTGTTTCCATGAAATTATAAATCCTAAACATGTTGGATGTCTGGGAGAACCGTACATGAACTTAATGTTCTAATTCTCGCTAAGCCACAAGTTACATGTGTCATACTTTGGTTAAAGCGGAACAGGAGGTCGGAGGGGGGGGGCCTTGTTAAAAAAGAAAAAAAAAAAGAAGGCATGTCTTCTGTTCAGTCCCAGAGGTTCTGAGGATCTTTCATACTCTGGGGGGTTTTCTTTATTTGTTTTTTTATTACGGAGGTCACAAGGTTATTATATAAACAATTCACAGGGACGGCCTCAAATGCCCAGCAGGGATGTTTGATGCAACGCTCGCATTTTTCCCCTCTGTGTATCAGTGTACACCCCCCCCCCCTTCACAGGCAGACGTGTCCAGTTTGCGCTGCGCCGCATTATCTCCCCGCCTTCGTTCCTTTGGTGTGTTTTGTGGAGGCGGCTGAAGAGCGTGCTTAATTAATTTGGTCAGCTGCCTTGGATAAACTACACTGATGACATCAATTAGATCCTAATGAAAACAGATAAAAGCCACGGAAAAGCAAATGGAATTTCTGAGCAGGACTCATCAAAGTCTTAGCATTGGAACAAATTCCCATTACGTGTCATAAAAGCCTTTAATTTGCAAAGCTCATGTCTGGTTTGGTACTCAGAAGTACATGGTCAAATGATTCAGTGTAAGTCGTGCGCCGAGAGGAGCCAAATCAGAATTTAATTTGGCACGCAAACCTCCTTATCCCTCCGTCTGAAACATGTGGCGGGAACGCAATCCTGGGATTAGCGCGGACTTCAGAACTACACATTTGGCATGTTTGGGGTCCTCTGGCAGAGCAGACACCTTGTGTGCCGGTTTGTAACACGACATTTCCATTTTCAATCTAGGGGAAGGGGAAAAAAAACCCACACCCGCTCTTACTGCAGATTATTACTTCTTAGTTAAGCAAATTGCTGCAATTATGTGTGTCAGTCGATTGACGGGGATAACGAGGCGCTGCTTCTTTGTCTCCTCCACTCTCCTCCTCTGTCTAATAACTCTGTGACCTCTTTGAAAATGCCTGATTTGATTTTACAGCTGGAGACAGATAGCAGTTCAGGCAAATGAAGATGAATCAATTAATTCAGCCGTTAGTGCTAATTTCCAAGCACTTCGCAGAAACACTGGTTTGGAAGTGTCTCCTCTGCTAAAGGAGGGCCGATAGATTGATTCTTGTGTCTGTGGGAGAGACAAGAGCAAGAAAACTGAGTGTAAGGCATGCAGTGAGTGAAGGCGTTCAGGTCAGACCAGATGAAAACTCTCAGTGAGACATGGCGGTGGCTGCATGCAGCTGTAGGGATGCTTTTCTACAGCATGGGAGGAGGGTCAGACTGAGCGTTTGGGGATGGAGGAGTCTCCAGACTGAGGTGGAGGTTCAGCTTCTAGTTGGGCAACGAGCCTGACAGCCAGAGCTGGAAAGGGATGCTTTAGATAAGCCCCGTCTGCAGGGCCAGATTCGTCAACTTGAAAGCAGGATAGGGGATTCAAATGTTATTTTTTCTAGTTTTTTTTTTTTTTTTTTTAAGCAACTTTATTGTGATATTGACACCCTGCAAAAAGAAAGAAATCTTAAGTATTTTTTTTCTTAAAATAAGTGCATCTTTTCTTGAATTGAGGAGATAAGTGAGACACTGCCAATGAAACAAGAAAAATCACATCTAAAGTAAGAAAAATGAATTGCATTGTCTTATTTCAAGTGCATATTATGTAATCATCCTATTTTAAGAGTAAAAATACTCATTACGTTGGCAATTCATCTGATTTACCTACCGTACTCAAATATAGGGTAAATACACTTGATTTAAATTTTCTAGATTGTTTTTGCAATGCATGGTCTGCTCTACTATTAGATCAAAACACAATATTAAAAAGCAAAAACAAGAAAAGCAGGCTGATCATTGCAGACATGGGATCTGAATTAAGAAGACTTTTGAAATTGACTTTCAACAAAAAAGTAAACATACTAACTATTAATTAAAAACAATCACTTTTTAGTTAAAAAGAACTTAAATAAGGAGCTTTTAATACTGTAGATCTTGATCTGACTCTTTGCATAACATCTTATTAAAGCTCCATGTAAGAAGCAGCTTTATTCTGCTTGTAGAGGATGCAGCCATCTTTCGTTTATTTTTTTTAATTTAACCTTTATTTAACCAGGAAGTCCCTTGAGATTGAAATCTCTTTTTCGAGGGAGACCTGGCCGAGACGGCACACCAGGTAAAATACAAACAGAAATACAACATAGACAAAATCTCACATAGAGGAAAAGACAGGTCACATAGGGCAGTTACATTTTTGAATTACATGACATTTTAACATGGCCTTAAATTCATTCAAGTTTAGCAGCGTCTGTGTTTGTTAGACGTAATTAGGTCCGTTTCATGATCAGTCTGGGTTGATATTAGCTCAAAGAATTGGGCAGCAGTCGAGAATTTGTTGGATATGACGGAAAAATGAATGAAATGGATTTGCCAGAGTCTGCTGTTGAGTAAACTTAGTGCGTAGTTCATCAAGGATTTGGGTCCTTGATGAACTGCGTCTCATAATCAAAACAAAAGCAAATATTGTGATGTTCATGAAATGAAGCTTTTATTTTAAGAAATGTTTATTTATCTGCTTCTCTTTAAATGGTCTCACTCAAGGGAAAATGTTTGTTTTATTTTCTTAAATCTATGACTGTCATTGTGCCAAATGTAGACCAAGCTCGCTGGTTCCCATAACAATGGCGGTGTAATTACAGGAATAAACTGAATCAATTATAGATTTTGAAAGTTTTTTTCTATGAAACATTAAAATTATCAGTTCAAATGAAAATAAATTCATTGTAAAAATGTTAGTTTTATAATTTAAAGGAGATTTTGGTATTTGAATATATTATATAAATATATATAAACTCCACTACTTCCTTAAGTTCAGCTGGTTCTTTTGTTTCCTGTCTGTCATTTCTGGACAGATTGATTAATCCATCATCAACACCTGGATTAAGGATATATAGAATGCCCAGTCTGACACAGTTAGCTGAGTGAACTCTGTGTTTATTGGCGCTTGGTGCTGAACAACCTGCCGCGCGCCGTTCTCCATGCAGAGATGCTGTTTTTACTTTGCTGTACCCACCAGAGCCAGCTCTGCTTATTCCGAATAAAAAAAGTTTTTTTCTTTAGGATCTGTGTTCTGCAGACACTCTTCCATCACTGCGACTGTTTGAAAAAAAAAGAAAAAAAAGAGGAAGTGTTTCATAAAGTGTTTTTGTTTTTTTTCCTCTGTGTCTCCATCCCAGTGGACTACCCTCCCCCTCCTCCACCCCCCGAAGAGTTGACCGGTTTCCCATCATCACCTGGTTCCTTCCCTCTTCCGCCGCCGCCGGATAACTCGTTCGATTACCAGGTAAGAGGCTGGAGCTCGGGGCTGCAGTCACATCCAACCAAACTTGTCTTCCACTTTGAGCCGCGGCCAGCTGCAGAGACGTTCGGCCCCCGGATGCAGCTTGGAGCCAGGTGCTGTGAAGCCACGCTCTCACACACTTTAGCTTAATATCCCCTCAGAGCTCTGATGCAGGACGGATGGAAGGCTGACACCTAATGGTGGAGCTGGGTCATTTATCTCTGCCTTGTAGTCATGATACCCACAGGCATCCGGCCTCCTGGGATGTGCGGCCTCCCAGCTCTCACTGACTCTCCCAGCACTTGACCTCTGCTCAGAAATCCTCCGAGTGCTTCACATTCCTCAGTTCAGTGTAAGCAGCAGGAATAAAAACAGGCTCTGCTTTTGATCCAGTCCACTTCTGCCCAGATTGTAACAGAAAGCATATCTTCATCACACCCAGAGCAGGGGAATGAAACTAAACACAGGAGATTGTGACCCAGGCTGTAGATTTAAAAGGTGAAGTTGAAATGTCGGCTCTCGATTCGATGCTTTTATTTAACTGAAGGAATGTTGGGGCGACCCGGCCCGCAGAGCCATTTTTTTCTCCGATTTGTTTAGAGACACATGAGCAGCTGGAATGCAGGGAGGTCCCAAAAAAATGAACTTCCTTTACTAGAAATCTGGACGGACATTTTTGCAAAACCTTAAAAGATCAGCAGAAGTGCTTCAATTCATCTTCTGAAGCTGAATCACTGCCCCTCTGACTTCCAGCAGCTTTCAGTTAAACCCAAGCTTCTCTTTTACCTTTAGGAGCTGGACGTGGTGAGGTTTTACCTTAATAGGACTGATTTTTTAAAATCCTCACTTAGCGTGTCCTTTTTTTCCTCTAGCTTTGTCAAATAGATACATGTTTTATCTAGTACATTTTTATCATTTCTATCTGTTATTTTTGTTGTATCTTTGTTTTTATTCATGGCTTTAGTCACAGGCAGCGGCTCTATTTCTTTATTGTAGCGTTTTATTTTGTTTTGTTATAAAAAAAAAATGGCATCACTGAAATAATCAAATAAATGAATTATGTGAACATTCCTTTGAAAATAAGACATTATTTCTGTGCTAATGTCCTTCTAATAGGTAATATTTTATCCTTACTCAATAAAAACTAGATTAAATATAGAATATAAGCACATTTGTCTTGGAATAAGTGTATTTTCCCTCGTTTTGAGCAGATAAGACAGTTTCAAAATTGAATAAGATGATTTGCGTTTAGAATAAGACAAAATAACTGTTATGTTATCTGTTATCTTATTAGGTGCATTATCTTAAATGCATGATATCTGATTATCTCAGTTTGATGACAGATACGCTCCTTCTATCAGCAGATCATTTTATTAACCTGCTCAACTTAAGGGCAAATACTCTTTTGTGAAGAGATGTTAACTTATTTTTATGATTTATGTTTAATTATGGATATTTTTGCTAAGCAGCTCTTTATGACACCCATGCACCTCCAAGCAGAAACAACAGTATCTCTGAATATCTCTAGCTGCATGTTTAGGGTCCAGTGAAAGGTGAACCTCCCAGCATGATGCTCCCACTTCCATGTTTCACCATAGAATGTGTTGAGCTTTGTCTCCTGCATGGCTTGTAGCAAACTGCAAACAGTAGTAATGGATTTGTTCCCCCACAGAGGCCACCTGAGCTGTGGATCTCTGCAGCTCTTCCAGAGTAACCATGAGTCTCCAGTTTGTCTGTTTTTAATGCTTTCTTTCCGTGTAGCTGCAAAGTGGCCAAAGGCTGGATGTACAGAACAAGTGCAGGAAGGTATGACTAACTGCACTGAGTGAACATTGTGTAAATGTGAGCTGAATAAAATTTAATAAAAACTAATCAACATAGAAAAAAAAACATTTTTTTTATTCATTTCTTTTTACAACACTGGTAAAATCCTTATATCTGCTTTTTCCAGCTTCAGCAGACAAACGTAGGCAGGCAGTCTTTCCATCCTGAGGCGATAGATAGAACAAAACTCCAAGAGTTGTTCAAAGCTTTGGGTATTGTTTTATACCATAAATGTCTGACAAACCTATGAGGCCATCATGGAACAGCTGGGTTTATATTCTAATCAAATATTATTCTGATTTTTATTTGTTAGGAACACTTCCCATTTTCCTTCACTATTATACGGTTGGTTTGTCTTTTTAAATCCCAGTAAAACAGAAACCTAGTTAATGCTTGTAACATTAGTCTTAATGTCTTAATTTAGTACGCATATTAGCTGTTTTTTTTTCCATTGGAGGCAGATGCTGTCTATCGGTCTGTGTTGCAGAAATGGTTAAATACAACTTTAAAAACCTGAGAATCCACTAATAAATTTAGCCAAGATAAATATCTTAGCCAATCCGTGACATTAAAGTAAAGTGTTTACAGCAAAACAGAATCTGTTAAGTGACTAAAGAACAGCAAATACAACCAAATAAGCACCTATTCACTTACCTTTTTCCTATCTTGTTCTAAAATTCTGTAATTTTACTTAATTTTTTTTTCTATTTGTTGTGTTAAAGCAACACTGCAAAGTTACAGCCATTAGGGGCTGTATAGCTGTAATTTTGTGCTTTAGCAGCCCTGAAAGCATCCGCAACAATAAACGGTCTTTCTCTGTGTTTATGAATGTGATAGCAGGCCATTTGGAGCAGCAAACTAAGAAATTACGGTGTCATTTGTAAATTCAAGACCACATTAACTTCTTTAGATGAAATCAAGGAGAGTATTGCGGCCTAGTGGTTAGGGCAAAGAGCTTGGGATCCTGAGGTTCTTAGTTCGAGCCCCCACAACAGACTGCCAATCTGGGACCCTAAGCAAAGACACTGAACCGCACAATGGCAGTCCACTGCTCCCTAAGGGGATGGGTTAAATGCAGAGAGTGAATTTTGTTGCTTTTTATTAGTGACAATGTAATGACAATAAAAAGCTGGAAAAACAAAAAAACATCCAAGTAAGCGCTATATCTGTAAGCAAACAACTTTATAGGTTTAGCTCTGGTGTTTGAGGGGAGGTCAGACTGCCGTAAAGCAGCGTTCTGAGTCACATGAGTGATTTACTGAAGGATCCGACTTTCCTAGGTTTGTGTTTAAGAAGAGCAGACTTTATGGAGCATTAATACCCAAAATATGCTGCATATTGAACTGAGAAATCTAAAATTTGTTTAACACTTTGGGTCAAAAGTTGGATCAAACTCCAGGGTTGATTTAAAATGATTTAATATTATGAAGAGCCGCTTTTACTTTAACATTTAGAGTATTTGCTGCCCGACTTTAGACACTAACTGTTTTTAAGCTCTCCACAGAACCTTACAAATGAAATCTGACATAGTATTGCTTATAGAAACTAAAGCAAGTCATGATGAACCGGCTATAACACACTTAAAACAGGTCAAATCTAGGGTTAATTAGACAAATCAAACTATTTCAGCTTATTTCCTTAGATTAATCTCTGGTTTTGGAACGGCAAACTGAAGTGCTCTGTTTCCATGAAGGCATCACAATCAGGCCAGCCATACTTTATTTTTTTTTAACTCCACCAAGGAAAACCAGGTTCTGAACACACTCCTGGAATGACCCGCCTGCACTCCTGAAAGAGAAAACCTGCAGAGAAGTCTGCTTTAAAAAGACTGTACGGCACAAAACACCACCAGATAGACTCCATCGTTCATAAAAACTCGCTGACAGAATGTCAGCTTTTATATTGTAGGAAGGAAAGCAGACGTTAAAAAAGGAACCAAAGCCTCTCTGCTTTTCTGCTCTCCTTAAAAGGCTGCAATCTCGAATCAGGGACAAGAAATACAAATAAATACACTGCTCAAAAAAATTAAAGGAACACTTTGAAAACACAAATCATGGTGTTTATTTATACTGATATTGACAGGGTGATGTGTTAGGAACAAAAGAATGACATATCATTTGATGGAAATGAAAATGATCAACCTACAGAGGGCTGAATTCAAAGACACCTCAAAAATTACAGTGACAACAATGATGCGGCAGGCTAGTCCATTTTGCTGAAATTTCATTGCAGCAACTGAAAATGGTATTCAGTAATTTGTATGGCCCCCACGTGCGTGTATGCATGCTTGACAACGTTGGGGTATGCTCCTAATGAGACGACGGATGGCGTCCTGGGGTATCTCCTCCCAGATCTGGACCAGACCATCACTGACCCACCACCAAACCGGTCATGCTGAACGATGTTACAGGCAGCATAACGTTCTCCACTGCTTCTCCAGACCCTTTCATGTCTGTCACATGTGCTCAGGGTGAACCTGCTCTCATCTGTGAAAAGCACAGGGTGCCAGTGGTGGACTTGCCAATTCCGGTGTTCTGTGGCAAGCGCCAATCGAGCTCCACGGTGCCCGGCAGTGAGCACAGGGCCCACTGGAGGACGTCGGGCCCTCAGGTCACCCTCTTGAAGTCTGTTTCTGATTGTTTGTTCAGAGACATTCACACCATTGGCCTGCTGGAGGTCATTTTGTAGGGCTCTGGCAGTGCTCCTCCTGCTCCTCCTTGCACAAAGGAGCAGATAGTGTTCCTGCTGATGGGTTGTAGACCTTCTACGGCCCTGTCCAGCTCTCCTGGAGTAACTGCCCGTCTCCTGGAATCTCCTCCATGCTCTTGAGATTGAGCTGGGAGACACAGCATACTTTCTGGCAATGGCACGTATTGATGTGCCATCCTGGAGGAGTTGGACGGCCTATGAAACCTCTGTAAGGCCCAGGTAGCGCCTCATGCTAACAGTAGTGACAGTGACCCTAGCCAAATGCAAAACTGGTGAAAATGTCAGCGGCCTCCACCTGTAAAACCATTCCTGTTTTGATGGTCGTCTCGTTGTTGCCCCTCTAGTGCACCTGTTGTTAATTTCATTAATACCAAAGCAGCTGAAATTGATTAACAACCCCCTCTGCTAGTTACCTGACCAAATCAAAATCCCAGAAGTTTATTTAACTTGATGCTATACTCTGATTACAAAGTGTTCCTTTAATTATTTTGAGTAGTGTATATATATCTAAGATTTTTTTTGAATTAGAGTGCCAGCTAACGTGTTCTTTAACTTCTATTATCACCTTTCTTTATCTCAGACTTCCTAGTTTCTTAAAGGAAGATTACGGTTCTGGGTGGTAATTTAATTTGCTGATACAGAACTGTTACTCTAATTATATTTCACCCAACCAGAGAAAAAAAAAACTGTTCAACTTTTCCTTATTGTGAGCAAAACGGACGCAACTCCATCAGAAATTCTATACGCTGCATAAGTAACACAGATGTTAATCTGTATTTAAAAAAATCTGCTCTTTATCACCCATGCAGAGAGATGTCTGGATTATTACATCTAAAAGCAGATAAATCTCTCATCTTGGCCCTGGTCCAAATCATCCCTATATTCCTACACACCACACAGACTGCAGCTTTCCCTTTCATCCTCCACCTTTTCACTCCTAAACAAGTTTGGCTTCTGTTTTATTTTTGAATATCTATTTTTTTCTTTTCTTTTCTGAATTCCTTTGTTGATTCATTGGAAGCCATTAGTGTGCCTCTTTGTTTACCCCCGCTCTCGCGATTGCCTTAGATGTTTTTAGGGAGACGCTCCGCTCCAAATGGAGGCAAGCCCTGCCCGTAATAGCTTGTGACAGGTAATCCAAACACATAACATTAGAATAAGAAGCAGACATTGATCCAACAGACTCAAAAAGCCCCCGCAGGCAATTGCAAGAAGTCTTCTCGCAGTTGCAGCATAGTTCAGAGGGCTAAAAATACTCGGTGTCATTTTGTGGAGAAATTCCCGGGAATTTTAGCAGAAATCCCTGCCACTAATGGTCACGTCAGTTTAAGTGTTTTCCAGATATCTCCGTCACAATATTTGTGCTTCTTCTACTGGAATATTTAGTGTCTTTATGCTCTGATGAGGTAGAATATCTCTCCAAGGCAAAACGGAAATGCGTGGATTAATAAATCAGTAGGTGCTGCTGTAGTGTTCGTGATGCTTTCAAGCTCTTCTTATAAGCAGAGTTCCCTCCCAGCAGTTCTCATCTCCATTAGGAGAGCGGGATGACACTATTAGTTAGAAAATAGCCGGCTTTAATCTGACTGCTGTTGTCTCTGCTCCAATCCTGGCTGGTTGGGTTTGGGATGAATGTGTTAAGGTAACTGTAAAAGCTCGGGGTGAATAGTGCACAGAGTTACAAAAGTCCCCCCTCTTTCTCTTTCTCTGCGCCGCATTTCTCCCTCCAAGAAGTCTCTGCGATTGATGTGCGGCTTTCAGGAGGATTGTGCAAGGTCAAAGTGAAAGCTGAACTTTGGAAACTGTAATCCAAAGTTGAAGAAGTGAGGAGAAGAAAGGAGGAGAGTGTCTTTGAGCGGCACTGAGTTACTCAGAGTTATTGAAGGCTTGACATTGACTTTAGAGAGCAGCTTGTAAAGGCTGTTTAACCCTGTCAAGCTATAAGTGAGTGTTTTTCTTTTAACTGGGTGTTAGGGTTAACACTCTTGGAAACTGAAAGTTTCTATGAAGAAAAAAAAGAGTTGGCTGAAGACGTTATTAAAGATTAGACTTGCACAGTCAGGCTTTCTGTGGCAGAGACCACGTACTGATTTTCTTTGCGTTCTGACCTTTAGATTCCAGTTTTAAGTGATTCCAGCACTTAATGGGCTTTAAATCTTTCCAATAAAGGAAATTCTAACATGGTTCAGATACCGAGATCAAACCTACAGATCTCAACTTCTACTGTTATTTAATAAAAATGCATCTCTGTACATAATGATCTATATTTTTAGAGCCTTTATA